TCATGAACCAACACGTACTAGCAGCAATGTTACAGAAGCCGAGCTCGAGTACTAGTTCCGATGATGATGATGGGGACGAGGATGAAGTTAATGGGGTATACAAGTGAAAGGATTGATGAAGATTGACATTAGCGTACAACCAGTGAACCAGCAGTTCAATAACTAGAAATTATGTATTTGTGCATTATAGGGGAGCATATTTTTGGTCCTGTGAAAGTTTAGTTGAGATCCTTATGTAGCAACTTGGAACACCTGATGTATTAGTGTATTAGTCGGTCTATGTACTATGTAATATTGTAATCTATGCATTTGCTCAACATTTTTTACCTTTCACAAGTATTTTTGGCTTTATGGTTAAATTCATGATTGCAATTACAATTACAATTGTATAATTATGTATGATTCAAGATTTTCATCTCAAAAAATAAATGATTTATGACTATGTAATAGACTAATAATAGTAGTGTAGGTGTGTAGTAACAATTATTCTTTGATAATTATTGTAAAAAGACATGCCTTTTGGCAAGTTTGTCTACTTTCTTAAGCTGCTTCAGCTAAACAAGAGTGGGATTTCAAGCAAATAATTGACATCATAATAGTCGAGTATCATTGTATCAGCACCTACTGTCTTGATGGTGGAATTGGTGCTACTATCTGTTGAGTTTGGCTTTGTATCCCAAATTCCCAATACCGAGCTGATTTCTTTGATGTCTTAGTGTTATTGTAACGAACACTGTAAAGAATGTAGACTTGAAAAGTTAGTTTATTTGTGTTGGTGTCCGGAGGGGATATCACTAATTTCAATTGACCTTGGTTCACAAATCCTCATCAACCCTTTTTATTGAACTAAAATTTGTCGGTTAACACGAGAACCTTGCCTTGTGCAATGGGTACGAGTACAACTTGTACAACACATATTTACATAGATCTACAACAAAGCCTAACTGATGCTATCATGGTACTTAGCACTGAGCTCACAGCTTTTCCTCCAACACCCAAGATTTAACTCCACTGTTTTCCAACGGCCAAAAAACAAACATTGTTTTAAAATAAAATATCAACGGCTACATTTTCTCATTCTCAGTAATTTTTAAAAAAATCCACCTTCCTTTTTGTTTCAATCAGATATCCTACTCCCTGGATTCTGCTGCATTCTCACAAGCTCAGTCCAAATATTTTCCTCAATTCAGCTTACTCTTCATTGTTCATCCCCTAAACATGAATTCAAACAATCCGAATCCTCGAAACACTCCTAATCCACAAAGAACACCAAATATTTCCCAACCTAACCCAAATTTTAATCCACAACCAAATTTTCCAATGTATTTGCAGAATACTGGAAATCATCCCAATTTCAATCCCAATTATCCTCATTATCAAAACTCAATGTTTCCCAATAACTCCCAACCAAACCCAAATTTTATTTCCAATCCTAATTTTCAAATGTATATGCCTCCCTGGATTCTGCTGCATTCTCACAAGCTCAGTCCAAATATTTTCCTCAATTCAGCTTACTCTTCATTGTTCATCCCCTAAACATGAATTCAAACAATCCGAATCCTCGAAACACTCCTAATCCACAAAGAACACCAAATATTTCCCAACCTAACCCAAATTTTAATCCACAACCAAATTTTCCAATGTATTTGCAGAATACTGGAAATCATCCCAATTTCAATCCCAATTATCCTCATTATCAAAACTCAATGTTTCCCAATAACTCCCAACCAAACCCAAATTTTATTTCCAATCCTAATTTTCAAATGTATATGCCTCCTTATTATCCTTATTTTCCAAACCATCCAAACCAAACAAATCCGAATTATTCCCAACATAATCATAATTTTCCTAATCAGAATTTCACACATTATCATCCAAACCATATAAATCCAATTAATTTCAACCCAAGCCAAAATCTTCCCAATCCAAATTTCCAACATCATCCGAATCCAAATCAATTACATCTGAATAATTTCCAACCGAATCCAAATTTTACCAATCCTTATTTCCCACATAAGCCAATTAATTTCCATCCAAACCAAATAAATCCGAATAATTTCCAAACTAATCAGAATTTTAATTTCCCCCCAAATTTTCAAATGTATATACAAAATCCGAGAACTCGTCCGAATTTTCCAAATTATCCGAACCAAAGAAATCCAAGCCCACAACAAAATTCAAGCTCTTCAGTAAATGGGAATTTAATTACTCGTACTTGTTCTGAAAGTGTTGGTGTTCCTGAAAATTCAGAAGATTCTGAGAGCACTGAACCAAGTAATGTGGCCCATAAAAATGCGATTGAAAGTGGTCTAAGAAATATAGTTAAAACATATGGTGAGAAAACTCAAATCCTAACTAGTATGCTTGAATCCAAACTTGAAAGAATGCGTAACTACAACTACTCGTATAATTATGATAGTGATTCTATTTCAAGTTCGAGTTCGAGTTCGAGTTCGGATTTTATTTGGGATTTTATGGTGTACAATTATATTATGGATTCCCAGATTGATGAAATGATCACTGGTTTAGTTAAAGAACACGTGATACCGATGATCCAGCGGCGCGGTTCGGGCAACTCTGATGATGAAGACGAGGAGAACGATGAGGAAGACGAAGGCGAGGACGAGGACGAGGATGAGGATGAGGATGAGGATGAAGAGAACAATGAAGATAACGAGGATGAGAACAACGATGGAGATAATACTTCCTCCGTTACTAAATAATTACATGATTGATTCATTTCTATTTTGTGAAGGTCAAATTTTAAAAATATTGACCTACTAATGGTATGTAAGATTTTAGTATACTAATGGTAGATTGTTACTTACTCGTATCTAATTTAAAGGTTGTTTTGTATTGCCCCTATGTAATTTACTGATTTTTTTTTTTAAATAATGTAATTTACTGACTTTGTTTAGGGGAGTGTTAAATACCGCTATCCAAAATTATCAAAACCGCCAACATTTAGTGTGAATGGACAATCATGTCCTTAGTACTTCACTACTATCTTCCCTCTTGCCATCAATCACTAACACCTTGACACCACCATCCTAATTGACGACTAACACCACCACCACCCCCACCACACTGACCGACGACGATCACCACCGCACTAGCGACCGACCACCTTCCCTCTATTTTTTTTTTTAAATTTCAGATTTTCAGGCAATCGCGGTAACCAAAGCCCAAAATCAATTACCATGTATGGTAAACGGAGCCCAAAATCGGTTACCGTGCATGGTAACCGGAGCCCAAAACCGATTACCGTGCATGGTAACCGGTAGCCCAAAACTGGTTACCATCCACGGTAACCGATTTTGGGTTCCGGTTACCACGCACGGTAACTGGTTTTGGGCTCCGGTTACCACGGTTGCCTAAAATAAATATAAAAAACACCACCTTCACGCCGACCAGGGAAGGTGGTGGGTTGTCATAGAGGAGGGTGTGGTGGGTCGACAGTCAAAAGGGGGTGTGATCGCCGGTTGGAAGGGGTTGTGGGTTGCCGGAAGGATGAAGGGGTGGTGAAGTAGTAAGGGTATGATTGTCCATTCACACCAAATGTAGGCGGTGGTGATCATTTTTGAAGGTTGTTTTGTATTGCTCCTATGTAATTTACTGTTTTTTTTTTTTTTTTGAAATAATGTAATTTACTGACTTTGCTTAATCTCAAGGTTGTTTGGTTTACGAGATTATGGGCTTATTCACATTTACTTAATTGAGCTCAACTGAACTGAACTGATTGGAGCTGAATTGAACTGAACTGAACTGAATGTTTTATGAGAGAGGGAAATTAAGAGCTGAACTAAAGTGAAATGAATTGAACTGATTGGAGCTGAACTGAAATTAAGTAAATATGAACAGATCCTATGACTATATTATAGATTGGAAATGTGCACTATGAGTACCGAGTAATGTACAACAAAACTTAATTATATACCTACCTTGGATTGAGCCAGTTTAGTGGTAGGTTTACAAAGTAATTGACAAAATGATAACCTTCAACCATAAATCAACCCGTTTGTTAAATATGCAAATTAAACTAAAAATCAGCCTAGTTTCTATGCACTAAATTCAAGTCCAAACAAACTAAATACAGGGATTGCCGTGTTGTGCTGATAATATATCACAAAATTATTGGGTTGTCGTGTTGTGTTCAGGTTTAAAATTTACTTTGTATAAGTAGTTAAAACTTTGGTCCAAGCTAGTAAATTTCTCTCTTGGCAATTGCGTGGAGATATTTGGTTGAGAGTTCATAAATTAGACTACTAGAAGGATCAAATCAGTGTTGATTTTATATACGTAGTACTAGTATATCGGCTTGATTTTGGTGTCTAAAGTCGATTGGCTTTATGTAATGACTCAAAAATATTTGAGGTGAAAAGGACCACCTTTAAGCTCCTGGAGTCGTGCAACCTAGGAGATTACCATATTGAATACGCTCTTCATTCACAAGACTTTCGAGGTTGTACTTTGACCATTGATTACTCCTTTATATATTTTGATTATACAATATTATGAAAATGCCTTTAAACAGAACTTAACTGCTTAGTAATCTTGGTATGATTTTATTTTTAATACTTTACTGATTAGCATACATCTACGAGAGATTAGTAAACAAAATTTAATCTCGAAAGTCGAAAATTGTACATAACAATGTACTCAGTAACATCTACTACTACTAGTATTACGGGGTATGTTTCATGAAGGGTAATATTTATTACTGATAAAATGAGTATATAATGAACTGTTATAGAAAACACTGTCATTACTCTTATTAGATGACTTGATTAAGCATTGAAATAAAGAATGCAATTGTTATTCTTCTCATATATGGCTGATTTCATTGGAAAATAACCAACTTAAGAAACATATTGCTTCTAGTACTCAACTTCCTACAACAAGATGTTTCATGAAATTCATGCCTAATGTTAAGTTGTTCCAAACAGTCTGTCCTTTCTATATATTTGGAGCACTTCAAAACGACGATTTTATCTACAAATATTCTTCTTTGCCACCTGATCAGATGTATTGCATCTCCCTAGCAGCATACTACATATTTTTCAACCTATCTAAAGTACTTTATGTCCTCCTTTTAGCTTTATCTTGCATCTTTATACTGTCAAAAGATGTAAACATTTTGCTGCAGTCTGCATCTGTTTCTAATGGACCAGCTGACGAGCATTTATATTATCTAGCCTTTACTCAAAAACCCATTAATCATTCTTTCTACATGATACTGCTGCGAAATCTTACCAATATAACTCATAATTCTGTAAACTGTTTGTTCTTGTAATTATTGGTCATTTATTAATGACATTGAGAAATTCAAATTAATCCGGTGAAAGGCATAATTTGCAATACCGTAAAGAAAAATTTTCTCTAAACAATCTTGATAAGAAGCTGAAAGAAAAAGAAAAACGAGTTGCAAAGTATGCAACTACTTTACAAACATAATCTTACCCTACAATGAAACTAAAACACAAAACAAACAATTTACATTGAGGCAACAGCTGCTTTTGATGCTGATGCAGTAGGAGCTCTACTGGCAATTGTCCTAACACGAGTAGCTCCTCCGTTGCTGTATTTCTTCTCAGGTTCCTCATTGATTCCACAGGCAATTTCAGATGTAGCGTGTCTTTGAAATCTTGCAGGGTTCAACTCTTCTCGGCTGTAAGACTTTGAAGTCCAAGACTCCGTTGAATCAGCTGAAGTTGGCTCCCAAGTTGAAGATGAGAGCCAATTTTGCTGACTTCCACCCACATAGCTATTGCTACCAGAAGACTCCTCGTCGTTGAAGTCTCCACCCTTCATCCTTACTGTCACATACTTGTGTAAACTCGGCTCCATCAAATCATCACTTACTTTCACTTCTGATTCAACAAAGGGGTCCTTGGACTCTAAAACCTTCTTACTACTGTTGAAAGAGAAGTTGGTTTCCTTTGGGCTTTTTCGCCTGTCATCAGAGCCAGTCATGGAGTTAAGATCTGCCACAGCTTCAACAATTGAACATGCTTTGCTGACACATGGTGGGAGTTTGTATGAATTGCTCGCCTCCATGTTAGAACTTCCAGCATTATTACTGCTACTGACATTTGCATTAGCAGTAGCATTAGTATTAGCATTCGTGTTTGAGTTTTTCTTCTGGTGGAAATTCTGAATGTCTCGAAGCAGTAGAGAGTTATAGTCAGTAGCCGGGGTAGGGGCTAAAAGAGCCTCAACACTGATGTCCAGGTCTCGTGATCGCCTTGCAGACCTACTTCTCATCAATGTTTGTGGCAACTTGAGGGTCTCAGCACCCGAGACAACAACCGGAGTCACCATGGCATCATACTCAACTGTATCTAATTGCCCCCTCTTATCCTCAATCAATTGCTCAACATTCGGCGTCTGAAGCTCATTCACTCTGCAGTAATTAGTTTTTGTAACCTCATATCCTTCAGCCCCTCTGCTTCTGCTTCTTCTATGAGTCCCCTGAATAGATGCTTTAACATTGTTTGTCTCTGCATACTTGTTCTGCTGCATCACAATTCACAACAGCAGCAACCCAGCTTATACACATGATGCAATTAAAAACAGAAATATAAATCGCAATCTCGGTCACTCTAAGGCAAGTCAATCAGCACTGCACTGATGATTACTGCATCTAGGCCTAATTTTTCAAAATTGCCTATTAATTGTACAAACAAGTGAACCTAAAATATTTGTTACATACACCACCCAATTCATATCAAATAGTTTACCATTATACACGAATTTCAAAATGTCATTTGTAGAAACAAGTGAACCTAATATATTTCACAGAAATTGCAAATAAAAAACTTTATTGTGATTGCTGAGCTAATATGCAGTAAACTAGTCATGTAAATTAGCATAAAATAGCATGTCCAATCTACTAACAATCAACAACATTAAGCACAATTAAGAGGCTAACAAATAAAAAAATACAAAAAGTTACCTGAAATCCAGAATTAATAGGCTGCTTAACAAGCACAACATCCTCCTCAATTTCCTTCCCTTTACTAACAGGCCTCTTGTTAGAAAGCGGATGAAACGGAAGCGAATTAATATCAATCTCATTCAAAGGCGTTCTCCTAAACGGCGAATGCTCGGCTTTCCTTGACCCATTCCGGCTCAACGGAGCCGAAACCGGCTGCTGCTGCCCTCCACCATTCCCTTGATTACCACCCCTTACAGGTGAACTAGCCCTTGCAGGTGAAATAGCTCTAGCAGGTGACTGAGACCGCGGCGAACCCACATTTCTCTTCACTAAAACCCTCTTCACATTCCCATCATTTCCATTTCCAACACTACCCTTTTCAACAGACAGTGAAGTCACAGTTGCAGGAACAGACACTAATTTCCCAGGCCTAACAGTCCCATTACCATTACCATTACCATTACCATTGTGTGTTTGAGTTATTGGACTTTCGGACCGTCTTCCAGGAGACCTACTAACCCTTCTACCATTACTCTGTGATCTCTCTTTACTCCCTGACCTTAATTGTTGTTGGTCCCTCTCCCTACTCCTACTCGGAGTACTCCTCCTACGATTCGAACCCCGGGACTGTCGCCTCCTGGATCGTTCATCATCATCATTCAATTCATCTTCATTCCCATTTCTCTTGGAATCCTCAATAGTATCATTCTCTCTATCGAAATCGAAACTCCGTTTCGAACCCGAATACCTTCTTCCATGCCCATTCCCATTACCATTACCATTTCCATTCCCTTTACCAGATGAACTCCTACTAAGCCTACCACATTGAATCAAAATGGCATCAACTTCTTCCTTTGTACAACTTGAAGTTCTTACTGCTTGCCCATTTGCAGCAGCTGCTAGTATATTCCTACCAATCTCTTCGGACCCGGATCCTCTACTCGGGTCACTCGAATTCGATGAATTTGAAGCTGACCCATCTGTTTCCGGTCTATTATCATTACTTTTTCTGTGTTGAATTACAAAAACCTCCTTCTTCTTCTTTGTAAAAACCTCCTTTGTTTCACTTTCTATCTCTTTTGTGCTACATTCCGGTTTCGGGGCTGCCGCCTCGAAACCGGCTAATTGCTTCTTAGGGTGCTCTAATTTAACTGTAATAGGAACCGGAACCGGTACCGGAAGTTTCTTTTTTGTATCAGTTTGTTCGATTTGTGAATGTGAATTTGAACATGGGTCGTTCTTGCTCAAACAACAACCCATCTTTAATTTTGATGGGATTAAACTAAAAATCTGAAGGATTAAAGAGAAAGAGAAAGATAAAGATAAAGGGTTAATTAAAGTAGGTGGGAGGAGCAAAATGAGAGGTAGAGAAGAAAAAGATTTGAAATTTGAGGAATTTGGAGGAGAGAGAAAAGAAAACAGGGCACAGTTTTCAAAGAAAGAAAGAAATTCAAATTTTGGGGGAAGGGCGGGCGAATGTGGAAATGTAGCCGTTAAATTAAAAGTGGGTGATTTCTGATGTGTATGTTTTGGATTATTTGTTTTAAACTCACTTCACTACTGCAGTACAGTAAGAAATGACCTTTTGTTTGAAATTACTTACCCTTTTAATTTAGAATATTTAATGTGTATGTGAATCTTTTTTTGTCACATTATGGTTTGATTTGAAATTGGAAACGGCTACTTTGTGCTGTTATGCATGTTACATTGTTAGAAAATTTTGGATTTTGCTGCTACTAGCTTTTTTGTTTAGCAATTTTGGAAAGGAATTTATTGTTTGGATGTTACAAATAAATTGACTTAATCACGGATGTTAGAGATGGAATTAGTAATCTAGGAGACTAGGATTATTAGTTTAGGGATATACTCTGTATTTTTCTTGGTGCAAAGTTTACGGATAATCAGTATTAGTAATATTGACTAAGTATGCATAAATAAAAAAAAATTACTACTCCATTCATTTCATAATGTTAATCTCATCTATGCATATCGATGTAAAATTTTGAACGCAAATATCTTTAATCTCACATTAACAAAAATTATAAAAATTAGATATGTAGGAGTCTAGATAAACTATATGGTATTTATAGTCAGGGGAGGTTGAATATTATTCAAATTGGATATGAATTTAATATGAGTCTAAGCCTCATATTAGATTTCATTTACCGTAAACCTCCTTAAATATTGTGTAATAGAGTTGTATGGAAACTATTCGAATTGAGCCAAGATTTAGCTTGTTCGAGCTAAGCTTGATAATAGTTATTATTGTTCGACCTATCTCAAGTGTGAACGATCATGTAAAAATCTTGTTTGAGCTTAGTTCGTTAAGAATGTGGCTTGTTTAAACTTTATTTCACAAAAATGCATACTTGTTTTCATTTTGAGTTTCAGATCGTACTTGATTAAATAAATAAGTCCTAACTAGTTTATCATTAAAAAAATAATTTCAATAATTTTTAATCCATCCACTTAATTTTATTTTATTTATGTCTTCATTCTTTCTATAAAGAAAAGGGAAAAAAAAAACTGATGATCACATAAATCTGATTTAAAACTAAAATACTACGTATAATTAACATGGAAATTTATCTAGAATGACTATAACACCCTTACACCCTAGCTAAGTGCAAGCTACTGCAAATTAGGACTTAACAAAATAATGATGACATTAAATGTATATAAATGCAACCGCCAACCGTTGGTACGTATACGTAGTACTCGTACAAATTGTGACGATCGCTTGAGTCCTTAGACCCTTAAAACACTGGTGGGCGCATCAAGTCCATCAATATGCCGATAATTAGCTTCAAAATGTCCATTTTTTAAAAAAATTATACTCTGTGTGTTGTTAAAACTTTTAATTTAGTCTTGACTTTGCTTAACATGTGGATGTTATATTTTTATTTCATTCTATACAGTTATACTCGTTAATTTATTGTGTATGCAATAACATTTATGGTTAATAATGTACATGAATTATTGTTTAATGCGGAGTGTTGAAATAATTATTACACACGTATGAAATTAGCTTAAACTTGTAAGTTTGGTGAAATAAAATGTCCTGGTATTTCTACATTCTACCTAGGACTCCACCATTTTCCTTGGATGTTATGATCATTTGTGACTTTTCTTCCCTTCCTTTCCTATATAAACTCAAACAAAATCTCAACTAAGTACACAAACAATCAACAAATACAAACTCCAAACATTTTTCTTTTCAATTAATTTTTCCAACATGATCACCTTTAAATCTATCTTCATTTTCTGCATCTTCATAGTTTTTGCCTCCCTAATCTCCACTCCCACCCATGCAGCCACTTTCACAATAAGAAACAACTGCCCTTACACTATTTGGGCAGCCGCAGTACCCGGTGGTGGCCGACGTTTGAATACCACCCGGTGAAACATGGACTATCACAGCCAACCCTGGACAAGATCGTGGTCGCATTTGGCCCCGTACTGGGTGCACACCCAATGGGTCAAATGGGCTTAGGTGCATCACAGGAGACTGTGGTGGGGTACTCCAATGCACAAATTATGGGACACCCCCTAACACCTTAGCTGAGTATGCCCTAAGACAATATAACAACTTGGATTTCTTTGACATCTCTTTGGTTGATGGGTTCAATGTGCCCATGAGTTTCTTGCCTGTAAGCGGGTGTAGCAAAGGACCCTCTTGCACGACTGATCTTATCGGTCCGTGCCCTGATCGGCTTAAGGCACCGGGAGGGTGTAACAACCCGTGCACGACGCTCAAAGATGATAAATATTGTTGTATAAATAATTACAGGGATAACTGTGAAAATAATATAGTGCACCCGGGTGCACCACACCCGGAAAGAACATTAGGCATATTTTAAAGAAAATGGGAAAAAAAAGAACATGCTAGTGTGTGAAAAAGAACATACCTGTGTTTGACAAAAGAACATGTTTATGTTTGACAAGAACGTGACATTACAAAGAACATAAAGTCTGTAAAAAAAGAACATGTTATTTTTCATGGTTACTTGGGTGGTTGAACGTGTTTGAAAAAGAACATTATATTTGACAAAAAAGAACATGTTCGTGTTTGACAAAGATATAGGTGATCATTGGGCGGACCGGGGCAAGGTTAAAAAATCAGCTCACTTCTCGAGTTGGGCCAAGTTTTGGGCTGAAGTTTTTGTGCCCAAACCTGCCCAAAATGGTCCGGCCGTGCGGGCTTTTCGGGTTGAGTAAAAAAAATCAACTAAAATGCATAAAAACGCAATCCCAAACTCGCCCAAAAATTTAAATTTACGGGCTGGGTCCGACCCGATTTGGGGGCAAAAAAAATCTGCCCAAAACCCGTCCAAAATCAAGTCGGGTCAGTCTAAATTTGATCACCTCTAGCCAAAGAACATAAAGGCTTTACAAAAAGAACATGATAATAAAGTAAAGAACATGTTATTTTTTCTAGTTACTCGGGTGATTTTTTTTTAAATGTACATACATTAAAGAACATATTGTATAATGTATAGAACATATATTTCAAACTCAAAGAACATAATAATCAAATTTAAAGAACATATTATGCTCATGTTCTTTATAAATATCTATAATGTTCTTTTTTTCGCCCATGTTCTTTTAAATATACCTAATGTTCTTTCTGGGTGCACCATGCGCATGGTGCACCCGGGTGCACCAACCATACATTAGATAACTGCCCTCCAACAGATTACTCTCGCTATTTTAAGAGTAGATGTCCAGATGCTTACAGTTATCCTAAGGATGATGCTACTAGCCTTTACACTTGCCCTTTTGGTACCAATTATAGGGTTACATTTTGCCTTGATTTGTATAATACTCTTCAAATCTATCTAAAAATGTACTAGGATATACTTACAATAATACTCCCTTATAAATAAATGGGATGTTGTCCTAGTATAATAAATAATAAAACGCATGTGTATATTTTTTTATTATTGTAGTGTGTTTAAGAGTGCAATGTTGTGTTTTGACTTCCAGATATCTATTTTTAAAATCTAACAAATTGATGAATGCCTTTGAAAATTGACATTTTTTGTTCTATGAAATTTATTTTAATATTAATACCATTCAACAAACTCAAGGACACTATTTTATTAGGAAATGTCACATTTGATAACGATCTCACTTTGGACACACCTCTCCTTAGCTTTACACTATCATTGCATTTTTTTTTTGGGGTGAAAGAGAGGGGCAAAAGCCCCAAAGCTAACAAATTAAAACAACATAACTTATAGAAAACAAGCAACAGATCGAAACAAACAAACAAGCAAAAACTAAAATGCCAAACTTCTTAGCACTAGAAGGGACCATAAATAAGATTTGATGATGCCAATTTGTGCAATCCTTACGCAACTTTGTGCACTCGTGTCCAAAAAATAAGTTTTGTAATGTCACACATAAGTTCTATGAAGCTAGAGAAATCCACGAGTAGATTTATATATTTCATTTCATGGCTTTCACTTTACTTTGCAATTTTGAATGAGACTTTATTTCAAACAAAATGGACTTTGAACTTTTTTTTTGAAACAAATCAATTCATTAATAAAAAGCCATCCGGCATCTACAAATGAAACCTAAATTAACAAATACATAAAATTGAATCAAATTAGGTTTTCCTTCATCAGAGCTACGGTCGTTGAAAAGATCTTGCACTGTGGTACATCTCTCGCACACATCGCTGGAATATACAGCCTTTTCGGAGAGACGGTCTAACGATTTGTTGTAGCCGTAAGGATGATTCTCATCTGATTCGCCCGAACGCATTTGAAAATTTGACAACCGTTGCGATCCCGAACAAATCTTTACCAAAGAACTGACAATAGGGCAAAAGATGATTACTTTTTTGATGAACCCTAACACACAAACAAACCCTAAACAAAAACAAACAACTAAACTAACGAAAACTAACGACTCCACCATAGGGAGACACTCCACCATAGGGAAACGGACGAAAATCTACACTGCTTGTGTAGATTTATTGAAATTCAAATTGCAAAACTAAATAATATTAAAGGAAAAGGGTCGGAAATAGTCTAATTTCCGAAGAAATTAGACTATTTCCGGCCTAAACGGCCAAGATTTTGGAGAAACCCTAGAAGATAGAAGGAGAGGAGAGGAGATGAGAAATGGACTTTGAACTGTAGCAAAGGTTCTAATTGGATAGAAGGTTTTTTATTAGTTCTAATATCTATCTATTAGTGAGATGGTTAAGCTCAAAGAAAGTCTTAGTGAGAAGAAAAAATCATGAATGCTTGGATTACAAATAGACTTAAATTCCAATCCATAACCCTAGCTAGGCGCTTCAAGTCTTATATTAATTTCTCAACTATACTTATTAACTGAAGATATTTCCATTTTATTTGGAATATTAAGAAGTTGCTTAAATGTACAAATTCTTATCAGTTGAACAAAGTTGTTTATCTTTTGAGCTGTACCCAATTAATTATTTGGGGGTATAATCGTCTTTTCAAGTGTCAGTGGAGGGGTACATGCGTCTTTTCATGTATTAGTTGAGGGGTATATGTGAATTTTCTTACTAAACAGTAAAAGCAAGTTGCAAACAGTAATAGGACAACTCACCAAAAGTACTGAATAAATGACCACGCTTTTTCAATATATTTACAAAAATGCCACCAGATTAACAAAAATTAGTTTATTTGGCAAATAAACTTGTATTTTCCCTTGTCTTTTAGTTGAATGTTGACATGAATAATATTTGATCATCATTTGATACTTCAAACTTCACATATCATAAGAAAAATAGTTTGCTAAAGATTAACAAATCTATTTTTGAGAAATTCTGCAATTAGTGGTTCATACACCCAGGTGTACCATGCGGTGTACCATGTGCCTGGATTAAAGCGGAATGAACATCGTATATAGTTATAAAGAACATTATGAATTTATAAAAGAACAATTTTTTTTTTGGTGCAAATGAGGGGCTAGACCCCGAGAGAAAAACACAAAAAAACAAACAAGTAAAAAGAACTACGGTGGGATGAAACGCGGCATAGCCACACCCACTACATCATCATGTAAAATTCTCCCTAAAGCTAAAGGGGGAACTTGAATCAACTCTATATTGTTGTTCTGAATTACTCCTTGGTTTGCTAACAAGTCTGCAGCTCTATTTGCTTCCCTATAGATGTGATGAACCTCGACTTGCCAATTTGTTTCCTCTAGCAGCTTCTTACACCTCGAAATGATGTGAATAGCTACTCCTACATACGACTGATCATTCCTCAATACTAGAACTATTGCCTGACTATCCATTTGCACTTGTAGTTTACTTGGGCCTAGTCTAGCAGCTAGTTCCAGCCCATACTCTAAAGCTCTTGCTCCAGCAACAAAAGCATTACAAGACCCCAACTTCAACGAGTAAGCATACATAAACTTACCAGTGCTATCCCTGATTAGTCCACCTCCCCCTGCAGGACCAGGTGATCCCCTCGCTGCACCGTCCGTATTTAAAACCAGCCATCCAAATGGTGGAGCTAACCATCTTACATTGGCCTCAATCCTTTGTCTCCTGCTTGGATTCAAACTTTGATCAAGATCACCAAAAGATTTCCAAGTTTCCTCAAATTTTGCTAAGAGAATAAGCCTTATATCAATAGGATTTTCATCTCCTTTACCATACACTACATTATTTCGCCACCTCCATATCCACCAAATAGCAATAGCAAAATTGAGTTTTACCAAAAATTTAATGTCAGATCATTTCAAAATATTTAGATATCAAGAATTTCTCTATCTAAAATTATTTTCACTAAAAATATAATTCAAAATTTCATTTTTAAATTTCAAAAATTCAAAATTCAAAATTTTAAAAATACTTAATTTATATACCTTGAAAAATATTGTTTGTAATATAAAGAATCTATACTTAGGACTCAAAAAAACATATTGATTAGACTCCAAAACATATTTGATTCCATATAAAAAAATGATAAAAGAACATTCATCAGAATATGAAGATTATCATCTTCAACCTTTGAAAATATTACCAAAACAGAAAAATAGTAAAAAAAAAAATATTGAAAAATACTTCTCTTTAACAACGAATTCGTCAATTACACCTTTCAATTAAAGGATTCATGGGAATGGTAAAATCAACTCCGTAATTACCTTAAATTACTTCGAAATCCAAAATTTATCATGGCTTCTCTCTCAATAAAAACTTCATTTCTCTCTATTAACAAAAAAAATGAAATTCTATATACCAAAGTAATATTGAATGTAAATAATAAATCAATTTCATAAATCAAGGAATATAAATCACAAACCAATACCTTAAATCAAGGAGGGAATCGTTTTTATTTTTCACTCGTGTACTTTGTATTTGCACACGATGTTCTTTTTGTGTTTATATAACTCTTGTATTCTAAGTGGGTGTACCATGAGCATGGCACACCTAAGTGTATGATGAAAATTTCAAAATTCTTGATGGCAAGCCTAAGTTTTGAATATAAAGCTTTGGTAGTCAAATTAAATTTTACATTTCAGTGATACTCCTGCTTCATTTATATTCTCAAGTATAACCAAAAACAATTTTAAAAATATGGATTATCATTGAGAATTAAAATTAAGTTTGGCTATTAACGAGAAAAAAAAAAAAACAAAAAAAACATTGGGCAATTTACTGCTCCATTAAAACAAAAGTTATCTATGGGCTTAAAAATGCTTATTGGGCCTAGGACTGTTCTAAATTGGCATGGTCTATATTTTGGGCTACAGATATGGATTATTAGTCTAGTTTGGTCAATTGGATCTATGAGCTTAAAAAAAAAAAAAAAAATCAATGTTTTAAAGATCCTTTGGCACTACTAGTCAGATAAAAGCTTAAAAGTTAAAACACAATATGTAGACAAAGTATAGACAAAGAATGATAAATAAACACAACATAACATATTATTATTATGATCATTATTTTCAGCTGAAAATACAGAATGCTAGAGCTGAACATTAAGACCAACTAGCTCTAGCTTATTACACATATAGTTGAATTTCCATCAATCTATAGCTTTAATTTAGCATGTATATTATGAAGTATCATCACATGTATAAGTAATAACATATCATCCTTTGTTAGTTGTTCATCAACGTTCAAGGGCAGAAAGTGAGCCTATAATTAGTTCCAGAAGGACAAGAGAAAGTGCTAGTTGGATCATCATTAGGGTAACTATAAGCATCAGGGCACCTTTGTTTGTAAAACCTAGAGTCACCATTAGCACCACATGTTCCGATACCTTGCGACGTGCAAGGACTTTTACACCCGCCGGGAACCCTCCAGTTCTGGGGGCACTGCCCGTTAATGTCAGCCGTGCACCTAATTGTACGACAATTCCCACCAAGTGCACCGGAGTTGGAAGTGGGACTGAAGGAGATTGGGATATTGAAGCCTTCGATAAGGGATATATCGATGGTGTCGGTTGGATTATTTGGTTGTGCTAGAGTATACTCGAATAGAGTCTTTGGGATTGTACCCCAATTGCCCGGGTTACACACTAGTTTACCACACCCTCCGGTTTGACAATTGCCGTTGCCATTGCCATCAAAGTTGCACCCAGTTCGGCCCCAAATACGTGCCATTTTGGTCCCGGGTGCTGGGTTTAGGTTCCATGTGTTTCCTTTATTGAGTTGTCTACCGCCTCCTGGATCGGCGGCAGCCCACACGGTGTAGTCACAGTTGTTGACTACGGTGATGGTGGTTGCATGGGTGATTGTAATGATGGACAGTAGAATTGTAACAAGAGAAAAATATATAGGACTCATAATGATGAATGGTATATTTTGGTAATATATAGTTTTTGGGAGGATAGTTTTGATGTGAGGAAATGTAGAGATGAGGGGTGTTTATATAGAGTTTTGAGGGGGCTAATCTGATCTTCTTTGCGTGCATGTTTGGTGAATTATTGGTGCAATTGTAATCTGACGGACATCTTATGGTAACAAATTGTCAATGCCAAAGGGAGTCATCATTAGACTTTTACGCATATCAACTCACAGATTTAATCATTTATTTTTTAGACAACACAACTTTAATCATAGATTTGTTTTATTATAACTTTCTAGCTCATTGCTCATAATCACATATAATTGAAATGCCATTAATCTAAAGCCTTAATTAACATGGATTATCTATCTAGAATGACTTAATAACACCATGTTAACTACCAGACGTGCAATCTACCGGAAATTATGACTACATAATGGTACGTTATTACGGTAATGGCATTGAATAAATGAATTGAATGTAAACGCAACCGTAGTACGTTGTACAAGTTAACGATCGCCAAGGTCCTGCATCAATTGTGTCATCATGCTGATAGTTAGCTTCAAAGTGCCTACAGAGTATTTTAATAACATACTCTATTCATGAATGTTACTTAAAAAACGAAGGGAGTATATGTTATTAAAACTTGACTTAGTGTTTGTTACAAACTATTAGATACTTCGTATTATTTTTATTATTTCACTTTAGACGACTCAACTCGTTCCTTTAGTATATTGACACGAAGGTAACAATTGCTAAATAGAAACTGCTGTAGCATTGTAAACTATAACTTCTATTTGATTCTTATAATTAGGAAAACTTATAACATAGAGAATTCTTTGTGCATTCTCTGTTTTAACCTTAATGTATTACATACGGAGGACTAAATAATCTACATTGCAAAATCTAGATTGCAATTTTATTGTCTCTATTTTCCCTCCTTAAAATCTTGATTGTTGAATGTAAATTTGGCTTGACAATTACGCTCTATATATGCAGGTTAATGGATAGGATTCCGCATTTGCTGCAGAGTTTTTAATTTACTCCTGCTAGATTGTTGATTTCTGAAGTGGTTCATATAGTTCTGATGTCAAATGAATCACTAAAAATTTTTGTGTTGTTTTATTTGTTTTAATTAATACTACATTACTACGTATTTGTTTTAGTTAAATTGCTGCGTTGCAATTTTGCAAAGCTTGTAATTAATATTTGTTTTATTTCTGCATCTTTTAGCATACCGTATTATATTATAACCAAAGTATATGAACATAACTTAATGCAATGCCTAATTTTCCTAAGCTTATCAATATAATTAGGCTATTATATCTAATCCACTACGATTACTTTCTAATAACATCTTTAAATATTGAGAGCCATGCGCGATCCCACAAATTTTCATAAGAAAAATAATTTGGTGAGGATGAACTTTTTAAGAAATTCAAATGATAAGCCTAAGTTTTGAATGGTTTTCTTTGGTAGTCAAACAAAATTTTAATTTTAAATAATAGTCTCCTTCATCTACATTCTTAAGTATAACACACATACACACAAAAAAAAAAAAAAAGGATTATTATCTATTAATCCTTAAAATGGAAAGTGAAATTGTGAAAAGTTAACCACCAAACCAACTTCACATATTTGTTGTGATTATAGTGATGACAATTACATCATACCATTAAAGCGTTCTTATTATTACTCTCTTAAATAAAATCACAAAAAATAACAATTTAGACAGTCACTTGATGAAAATTAAAATTAGGTTTAACGACGACTACAAAGTTTTAGTCCCTAAATGATTTGAGGGTTCCATAAGATGTGACTACGTTTTGCGCTGGCCACCATTGACCTACCACAACTCTTCTTCTTAATCAGGGCTTGAGATCGACAGTGAATGCCACAAAGTGACACTCACTGGCGGTGAATCATAACACAAAGTAGTACTCGGGTGAATACCACAAAGTGACTAGTAAAAAAAATCCAAAATATTGAATTACTACAACAATAACAACAAAAACAAAGCCTTAGGACTGTTCTCATTAACTGAACTGAACTAAACTTATTAGAGCTAAACTAAATTGAATTTATTAGAGCTGAACTGAACTTATTAGAGTTGAATTAGCTGAATTAAACAAAAAAAAATCGTATGAGAACAGACCCTTAATCCCAAAATATTGGGTTACCAATTTACTATTGTGATAATAAATTCCCGCAACATCCTAGACAATCAACACATATTTGAGCCAACTTATTGGTTGTATAACTTGTATTTGTCCCAAATTAGGAAGTATAACCACTGGGCCTAATGGACTCAAGTGCAACATTTTGAGACTAGTGGGCTGATATATATTGTGCACGCAACAAATGGAACACCCTAAACCAATTTAGTAATTTCAATTTTCAACTGTTTCAAAATTTAAGTCAATTTATTGTGTTCGTAATATTTAATAAGGTCATTTAAATTTATTTTTTTTGTGGTTCCACCCGGTTCACCCTCTGGGCTAATTCGGATTCGGAGATCAGTTCTGGGTGGTTAGGCTCCAATCCCCTCCCGATTGTTGTTGCGGGGGATCGAACACGAGTCCTCCCTACCAAGTGTAGTCCCAATCACCACTACACCAACAACCAATTGGTGTCATTTTAAAATTAATTGGTTATAGATAGAGTAGCTATTAAACATCACCCTCAATTTTTTTTAAGAGTTGGTAAATTGATTGCCGATCAAGATATCACCCTAATTTATTTATTTACTAGATATAAGCCCGTGCGATGCACGGTTTTTAAATATTTCATTTTGTATATTTTTTTTGTAATTTCTTAATATTTTTTATTTTCTATTCTATTATTTTAACATTAATTTAAGGTAAAATATTTTGTTAAGTTTTAAATTATTCTTATTCAAATTTTACGTATATAGAACTTGAATTTATAAATTGAAATAAATATTATCTCATTCATCGGATAGTTAGATAAAATCATTAAATCAAAATATATTTTTTAATTTCTAATTATTTGTTAAAATAATATAAATCCTAATGTAAAAGATAATTTTTGTTTTTTTTTCATAATTTAAATCTTAAATTACTATTTTTTTTGTTTTCAATTCTCAAATTTCATTTGTTAAATTTTTCTTAAATAGCGATGAAAATTTAAATTCTAAATTAATATATAAATCTAATTTTTCATTGGTCGAAATATTACTTTTGCTTATGTGGCGTGCGATGCACGATTTTTTATATACATTTTGTATATAAATATTTTTTTTGGTGATCTCTTAATTTTTTTTTCTTTCATTATAAGTTTTAAAATTTTGTATGAAAATATCATATCATCAGATATTTACATAAAACCATTAACATCAAATAATAATTTATATTTTTTAAATATCAAAATATAATTTTAGTTTTTTAAATAATATAAATCCTAATATCTAAAGATAATTGTTAGTTTTGTAACAAATAAAAATGATAAAATTTAGTATTCTTAAATAATTGAAATCTTAATAAATTACTATTCGTCGTTTTTACCTACGTGGCAAAAATTTAAAATTTTATTCGTCACTTTTGTTTAGGTGGCGAGCGATTTTTTTAATTCTAAAATAAAATAGATATCTAATTTTAATTGGTCGAAAATATACCTTTTCTTATGTGGAGCTCCCAATGCTCTCCAAAAATGCCTACTTTATTTATATATATTAGTTTTTTTTTAGAGAAAGGGATAGGATCCTTTGGGAGGAAAACTCTAACCATCTGATAAGGAAATTACTATGGGATCACATCTTTGCAATTCGTGTGAGCCTCATACTCCGTAATTGTAATAACAAAATTATATACTTTGGGCCTGTTCACATTTACTTATTTTCAATTAAGTTCAACTTTAATAAGTTTAGTCCAGATCCTAGTTTTTCTCTCTCCAATAATATTCATTTAAGCTCAGTTCAGTTCAGTTCAGTTCCAATTAGTTCAGATCAGTTCAGTTCAGCTCAATTCAGTAAATGTGAACAAATCTTTAATCCTTCAAACAAAAATAATGTACTTTATTTATCTATTTATTACTATTATTATTATTATTATTTTTGAAGAAATTATTATTATTATTATTATTATTATTATTATTATTATTATTATATCTCAAAAACAAAAGTCATACAACCTACAATAAATTAGTGGAAAGCCGAGATACAATCTGGGCCCCCACTCCTCTAGCAATAGCAAAGCCTACCATAGTGAATATATTATTATTATTATTATTATTATTATTATTATTATTATTATTATTATTATTATTTGAAACCATTATTAATTCTCCCTGTTATTTTATTTCTGTTTATAATTTTGCAACTATTCATAATATGAGAAAATCAACTAAGGTATTCTCTACATAAAAAAAAAATCATAATCGTGTAATGAATTACTTGATTCATCTCAATCGGTGTTTGGTTCATGGAGGCGTATGTACCAAGCATGATACATACCAGTGGCGGATCTTGAAGTTTTTTCTTTCGGGGGCTAATAAATACTAGCTTAAATGTACATCTAAGACAAGCATTTGAAAGAAAAAATTTATTATATTGGGATGGAGGCAGTATTTTTAATCAAAAGTTAATTGAGTTATTTATTAACCTTGATAACGTCTTGTCGCTTAAAATTATCAATTTGTTTTTTAGAATAGGAGAACCTGCTCTAATATCATGTTAGGATTGATCAATGAATGAGAAGGGCAACCAATTGAGCAGAGCAGGTTTGACCAATTTAAAAATCTAATTTGGGTTTTTGGTAAATAACTTATTAAAAGAACTTTTTGGTTCCAAAAAGCTCTTTTTGAAAAAGCTCATTTTAAGAGCTTTTTACAATTAGCTTATTGAAGAATTAGCTTTTTGGGTATAAATACATTGAAACAGCTAATAATAAATAGATATTTACCAAACACTTTTACACAATCAGTTATTTACAACTAGCTAGTCAAATAAGCTAATATAACTAGCTAGTCAAATCAGTTAATATAATCAGGTATATCAATTAGCTAAAAGCTAATTACCAAACAGGGCCTAGTATAGTTGAGTACGAGTATATGATATTGTTCACTTGTTCTTGGAATTTGCTCCGCCTTGTAACAATACATTGATTGAATAAACGTACAAGTATTAAA